TCTTACATTGGTAACAGTGATCAAAAAAAGAAAATAAATTGGATACAGAAATGTTCTGTTTGCAAAAACGATCATAAAATATGGGAATGTCCAACTTTTCAAAATCAAAATATTAAAGAAAGATGGGAAACAGCTAAGAAAAATAAATTATGCTTCAGATACTTGAATTCTAACCATTCGTCAAAAGAATGCAGGAACACAAGAATTGTGGGATTGATGGCTGTACAGATACCCATAATCGTTTGCTTCACAAGAAAAGACATCAAAAAGAAACAATTTCTGAAGACTACAAAGAAAAAGATACGATATTAGAAAATTCTCATACGTCGAACATCCAATTTCATTCAAATTATGTCATTAACTACATATCTCTTAGAACCGTGCCAGTTATTCTTCATTATGGATATAAAAAAGTTGTGGTAAACGCATTGCTTGACAATGGAAGTACCAAGACATATTTGAACTCTGATGTAGTGGCTGAGTTGTCACTGCAAGGTAAAACCGAAAAGGTAACTGTAAACATGATAAATGGAAAAATTGATTCTTTCAAAACAATGATGGTAGAATTTCAGTTGGAATCGTTGAATGGAGAAACAAAAATTACAGTAGAAGCTTTTACAGTTAATAATGTAACTGGAAACTTAAAAGCAATTAATTGGGCAAATATGTCAAAAAGTTGGAAATCTAAGAAAAATCGAATTCCCAAATATTGGACCAAAACTAAAAATTGACATTCTAATCTGTGTGGATTACGCTGAGCTGCACTGTGCAATTAAGGAAGTAAAAGGAGGATTTAATGAACCAGTGGCTCAACTCACGCTGCTCGGATGGACATGTGTTGGTGGTACTGGTGGATCTCTTCAAACCCATTTTACGAAAATAACATCTAGTACAAAGGAAATAGAAGATGCAAACAACACCATTAAAAAATTATGGGAAATTGAAGGCAATTCAGAAAAACAATGACAAGTCCAGAAAACTCTACCGCCCTTAATATAGTAACTAATTCGCTAAAAACTGAGAACGGAGGATATGAGCTAAAATTACCATGGAAATGTAATAGACATTTGGACAATAATTATACAATGGCGTTAAACAGATTACAAATTATAGAAAAATGGCTAATGAAAAACATAAGTCTAGGAGAAGAGTACAATAATATTATTAAGCAGTATCAAGAAAAGGGATACTTGGAGAAAATCAATAAAAGAGATCTTGGAGATGGTTGTAACTTACCACATTTTCCAATTCTTTGTCCTGATAAATCAAATACAAAAGTCAGAATTGTGTTTGATGGATCTGCAAAATATAATGGTAAATCAATTAATGATGTTATTTATCAAGGTCCAAAACTTCAACAAGACCTTATGCCTGTTTTGCTGAGATTTCGGTTTAATCCGCTCGTATTTGGAATCAACTCAGCACCTTTTATGGCTCAATTTGTAACGCAAGAACACGCAAGAAAGTATGCAAAAAAATTTCCTTTGGCTTCTGAAGCTGTACTTGAAGCAACTTACATGGGCGACACAATAACTTCTGTAGTTGATGAAAAAGTAGGAATTCAATTATATAAGGAACTCACACTACTATGGGGTTTAGCAGGAATGTTTGCACAAAAGTGGCTTTCAAACTCTGTCAAAATTCTTAAAATAACACCAGAAAATGATCGTGCAGAACATATAAATTTAGATTCTGGAGAATTGCCTGCAATGAAAACACTTGGAGTTGTCTGGAAAGCAAAACTTGATTTATTTAGTTTTCATTCTGTAACAACCGGAGAAAATACAGTATATACAAAACGAATTTTGCTTAAAAAAATGACAACGTTGTTTGATCCATTGGGTTTTTTGGGACCATATATCATTCGAATCAAAATAATTATGCAAGAACTGTGGATTGATGGAATTGAGTGGGATGATGCAGTTCCGGATAGGATTGCAAATAATGTTGATCAATGGTTTCAAGAACTAAACGATCTCCCAAAAATAAACATTCCCAGATGTTTACAAATTACCTCAACAGTAACAAATAGATCAATCCATGTTTTTATGGAGGCGTCTTGTAAAGCTTACGGTGCTGTTGCTTATATGACACAGGAGAAGTGACCTGTGTGATCATAATGTTAAAAGCCCGAGTAAGTCCATTGCAATCTATTAGTATACCAAGACTTGAGTTACTTGGAGCTGTCCTCGGTTTACAACTTGCAGAGAAGATTGTCAAGGCATTGAAGCTGGAAACTAAGGACGTAACTATATGGCGTGATAGTCTTAGTGTTTTATGGTGGATAAAAAATCAAAGTTAAAAGTTGAAACCATTTGTTGCCAACCGTGTTGGATTCATTCAATCTAAGACTGAACTAAAACAATGGAGATACATACCAACAAAAACTAATGTAGCTGATTTACTAACAAGAGGAACAACAGTTAAAGAATTAGAAAGCCATTATGTATGGTGGCATGGATCAAGTTTCCTTAATTCTTTAGAAGAAAAATTGCCACAGAATTACATTGAAGTTACACAAGAGGCTTCAACTGAAGTAAAGAAAAATCCAGTATCAATGAATTTTGCATTATCCACTGAAGTAACAAAGCAATAGCTTGATATAAACAAGTTCTCATGTTGGAAAAAACTTGTAAGGATAAACGGCTGGATCCATTGGTTTTTAGGAAATTGTCGATTTGAAACAGACTTTCGGCAAAAAGGTTATATAGCAGCTGATGAATATCATAATGATGGGAACAAATCAATTATTAACAAAACTATCAGAAAGATATTGGGTAATACAAGGACGATAAGAAATCTGAGATGCAGAAGCAAAATGCAACAAATGTAAATTAAGAAGATGTAAACCTGCTCAACAGCTGATGGCTGCTTTACCAGGAATGCGCTTAAAAGAACCACTACGTGCGTTTGCTAGAATTGGTATCGATTTCGCTGGTCCGTTTCTTACTATGCAAGGTAGAGGAAAGATACGTCAAAAGAGATACTTGTGCTTGTTTACCTGTTTACTATCACGAGCAGTACATCTTGAGATGGCTTATAATCTAGATACAAATTCATTCCTCAATGCCTTTTATCGAATGGTGAATAGAAGAGGATTACCATTAGAAGTTTTAACGGAAAATGGAACAAATTTTGTGGGAGGATGTCGAGAACTAAACAAAATTGTCAATGACTTAGATAAGGATAAAATTACTAACTCTACAGCTGATAAAGGAATCAAGTGGCACTTTAATGCTCCGCTAGGACCTCATCTTGGTGGTGTATTTGAAATAATGGTCAAAGCTGTCAAACGTGCAATGACTGGGATACTTGAAAAAGCTGATATTACAGATGAAGAACTCTGAATGGCATTTACAGGTGCTGAGAGTTTATTGAATTCTCGCCCACTAACATATCAGAATGCCAATATAAAAGATGATATTCCATTAACTCCAAATCATTTTTTGATTGGACAAGTTGGTGGACAATTTGCACCTGACTCAGTTCAATCTAAAGGCTATCATCCTAAAAAGCACTGGCGTCAAGTGCAAGAACTACTAAGTCATTTTTGGAAATGGCGGATGCGAGAATGGCTTCCATCTTTATCTAAAAGATATAAATGGAATCAGAAAAAAACGCGAAATAAAAATGGATGACATTGTGTTAGTAATTTTTCCAGATACATTTAGAGGACATTGGCCACTTGGTAGAATTACGGGAGTCTTTGAAGATAAGGATGGACGTGTAAGAGTTGTGAAAGTCAAAATTAGCAAAAAAGAATTTATACGACCAATTATGAGATTGTGTCTTCTTGAGTTTGAAAATTAAATGTTTGATAGACTAGAGTCTATCAAAGAGGGGGAGAATGATTGGAAGAAAATTGAATTAGCATAAAAGAAAAACAACATTCCGATACCACGATATAACCAGTAAATAGCGCCAATATGGCTATAACGAACTAAATAACAATTATGTGGCAAATATTTGAACAATAGTGTTTTTTTGTTATTGAACGAAATTTTTGTATAAATAGAGTTTTTTTGTTGTTGTTTTTCAGATACAAAAATAAAAAGAATATAAGTAATATAGTTAATGTAAAAAGGGTTAAGATCTTAAAGCTATAAGTTATAATACATATTCGGTATTATTTGTGATCGCCATCGGATCAATAGGTACTAAACTATGTCATTATTTTGTGTCATATCTGTCTGTTTTACTAAGGAAATTTTATTAAAATTGTATAAAAAATTATGAATAGGTAAATAATATAACTTATGAAAAAGTTATTGCTTATCTCTAATTACATAACAACAACAACAAAAACCCCATTCTTAACATATAATACTTTTAGTACCAATAAGTAAAGTGTCACTTACATTAACTTTACTCAATGCAGCAAATGAAGGAAAAACAACCTCATTGTTATTCTTCTTCAAGCTTGGTAGTAGTTTTAGAGAATTATAATTTATGGTTTATATAAGCATAATTATCTCCTAAAAATTTACACGTTTTTCTATTTTAACAAGTCTATCTGGTGGGTGGGTTTGCTCAAAACCCATTTTTGAGAAAACTAAAAAAAACTCTTTATATCTTTTCTAATAAATATACAGGACTTTTGTAATATATTTCTAAAACATACATGCAAGATTTTATTGCACTTTGATAATCTTTGTTAGTAAAAAATTAATGTTTGAAAATTTAAAAAATTTGCCTGTTTCAAAATATATAAATTAACACAAAACATAAGTTAATACAAAATATAAGTTTACACCATATATAGTATTATTTAATTTGACACAACAAGAACATGATCTAGCTTTATTTTGATTTACAATTCTTCTTTTGTCGTTTCAGTTTACTCAATATAAAATATTTCTTTTTTTTTTATATGAAATAAAAAATTGTTGTAATAATATTAGTAAACTGTGATTATTATTTTTTATTACATTTTGATTGATTATTTAAACTCACAAAAATGTTTAGTTTTAACATGTTGTTTCGAAAGTAAGCTATTATACCTGGAGGTTGTTCAAAAAACTCTTTGCTTGGTACACCTATTCCACTCTGATCTAATCTTGTATATCCATCAGCTAATGAACTGAAACCAGTTAGCCCACCCATTGCTTTGTAAGGAACATCATAACCAACAGGCATACCTCTTAACTGCCTCTCTTTCTTTGTTTCTATTATCATCTTAAATAAAAAATATTATCATAATTTTCTAATACCTTAAACACAAACAGTTAAATACTATTTATTTATTAAATCATTGTTTACTGAAATTTATAACAATAGTAACTTGAAAATAAATTTAAAAACCTTATGCTTATCAGCACCCATACCACAACCACATGAATAAGCAGTACAAAACTGTTGACATAAACAACCCACTTTAACACATTTTTTCTTTCCTGAATTAGAATGCTCATTTGTTGAATGCTTGCATTTACATCGCAATAACTGAGTGCCATTAGGTGGAACATAAAAATATGCTTTACAACCACAGCCTAAAGCATTACAAGGAATTTTAATAGGACGTGTTGAAGGCAAATTAATAAAATCGGTAATATGCTGTTTATATCTAAAAATATTTTTCAACAAATAGATGTATAAAACATAGAAGTATTAGATAAGCAAGTTTACTTAAGTTAAAAAGTTTTTTTTTGTTAAAAGTTTTAAGTTTATTATTGTTTACCTGTGTTCACAAAAACATTTTGTTTCAGGTCCGACCTGTTTGCATTCTAATCCAGATTCTGAAGCCCAGCAAACATACAACCTGTTCTTCATTCGTATTGGTATCATTTTCTTTTTGTAAGCTTCATATTGGCTAGGTGTGAATAGATTACCACCATCGTCATCACCAACAATCCTATATTGATTGTTAATAAATAATGCAACTTGTAAATCAATAATTAAATATTAATAGTACAATTTTTTTTTTTAACCTTTTAACAAATTCATTCCCAACAAGACTGCAGGCAACCACTAGTTAAGAAAATTAAAAGAGGAAAAAGTTGATAGACTTTAAAAACTCTAAATTGTATAAGTTTGGAAAACATAAATACAGAATATAATTGTTTGATGTTCATTGTTCAGGGAAAAAAATTAAACAAATAAAAATTGTTTAAGAATGAAGAAACAGCTACAGTAAAATGAAAGCATTTGCTGAAAGAAAGTCACAAAATATTTAGATATAGTTGATGGAACAAATGATGATAGCTTGCTTGAGCATCCACCATGGTAGTATTTGCAGGAAAAAAAAGATGTAATCTTACAAAAAGGGTACGGAGGCTCAATGTTGGGAGATATCAGCATAACTATAACAAACTATTCCATACAAAAATTAGCTCATTCAGTAAATAGACCACTTTAGAATGATTTTAGAATATTTTATAATGATAGTAGGTATGCTGCTTGAACCTCAAGCTGTAGAGGAGTTTAATAGGGAGAAATAAATTTAGCAATGAATGCATAAGTGATTTGATGTCCTACTGCGGATTAACCTGTTTCTTTGGGATATCAAAAAGAGTGTGATCATTAAACTCAATAGATAAATTTAAGAAAAGGTTATTTTATATAGTTCTGCTATACCCTTTGGGAGAGGTAACAAGATTAGACTATGTATAAAAGATTGAATGTTAGATAATGTTGATGAGAAAATGATTATGTAGAGAAATGATTAGGATAAAATGGTTTCGTAGAGCTACAGCACAAAAAAAAATAAAATAAAAAAAGGGTGGAGTGTTTTATATCCATATACAGAAGATTTTATTAGACAAAAAATCAAATAGAAAAAATAAGTCTAGAAAATGAGTCACAAAGTCTGAGTAAAGAGATAACAAAAAAAAAAAAAAACATTAAAGCACAAATAACATCAATATTGGCCGATGGATAAAGAGAAAAAGGCATGGGCTATTTGATCAGAAGCAATGGCAAGAAGTGGAGCCTTGGGAAATTGGGATTTAATGCAGGTGTTAAGCAAGAGCACATAAACAAACTTAGAAGATTAAAACTAATTTTACAATAAAGATGTGAATTTACACATAAGTATATTTCCAAATCAAGCTTTTGATTGCAGTCTTTGCAAATCAAAGGATAGACATCGAAACTAAGATCAAAAAATAAATCAGCAGAATTTAAATCAGTTTCACAAAGAGCAATTAAGTTAAGTGAAATTTACAAGAGGTAAGATTTAACAGAAAAAAGTTAATTCAAAGACTACAAATACATGTAAATATTAGATTAGTAGTAAAAGTGTTTTTTTTTTTTGTTTTTTGTTTTTGTTTAATATTATTAGGTAATTTATTCATTTTTTAAACTAATAGAGAATTTGCCTCAATCAAAGATAGTGTATGACACCCTAAGCAATAACCTATGCAGGCTCATTCCTGCTAAGCAACCTAAATTTATAACAAAAGGATCCTTGCAGGGCATTTTATACCAAAAAACTAATCACCAAACAATAACCCTCAACAATTCTTCATGTGCAACATGACACTGTCAATACTCTTATATTTTACAACTGTTATGGAACCAACCTCACTAAGAGCTACCAAAGAATTCTGAAAACCTTACTACCAACCAGCCTCAAAATCATTAATCTGAGTTTTAGATTATAACTATTATTAACTTGAAGTTAATTTACTATTTTGCCTGTTTTTATAGGTAGTAAGGATGAAGAGTTTTATAGTGATACTCACAAAGCTACTACTCAGAAAGATGCAAACTGGTTTTATTGCCATCAAAATTAAAGTTTATTTACAATTTTATAAACAACAGCTTTTTATTTTTTTGAACAACAATGCAATAAACTTTTTGAAAATATTATTTTAAGATAATGTTATTTAAATTTATAATTTAAAAAATATATAGGAACAAATACAAATAAATATACAGGCATCATTATGTTAAAAAAAAAAAAAAAGTTTTGAAATATGGTATTATTTATATTATTATGAATCATAATAATATCATAATAATATCACAATATGATATATATATATATATATATATATATATAGTATTATGGTAAACATAAGTGTTTTGAGAATGAACTTTTTTACTTTAACATCAAACTATAGTATTTTTCATAACTTTTCAGACATTTTTTTATACAATTTTAATTTAGGTAGTAAAATAATTTATATACAATATATAAAAAATTTTATACAATTTTAATTAGATCAACAAAACAATTCTGTTGAAAGAGAAGTTTATACCAATAAAAGTTTTTTTATTTTAATCTATACTTTGAAAAACAACACATAACAAATTTGGCGATCTAACTGCATCGGGTGAATTGTTTTGTATAAGAATGATATTGAAGTTATTAAGATTTTATTACTAATTAAAAATTTTCTATGTTAATAATGACTAAATATACTAGAAACTAGCTAATAAAAAGAGTGATACTTTAAATTATCTTAGCATCTAAACCTAACATCCTATCTTACGTTTTTGATTCCTATAAAATTTAGCAAAAAATAAAACTTAATAGTGGCATTGAAAAAACTATGATATTTCATGTCATTTTATACTTTAATACCTGGTATACTCAAGATAGTCATCAACACTCTTGCATCCATAACTATTTAGAGAAAAATTATTATCATTATAAGACATAATATAAATTGGAGAACAAAACTTTTGATAATTATTATTTAAATAACATTAACAGTTAGCAAAGAAATTGTTATCTGGGATATTTGTTTATGTTGCTACACAAGTTGACTCGATGATCTCAGTATTTTATAAAGCTGCGCCTACTAGCGATGTAAATTTTCCGATAAAATTTTATTCAAAATTTACGGTAAAATTTACCGGTAAATTTTAAATAGAAGAGGGTAAATCTTCCTTAAAATTTTTTTTTTTACAAAAAAAATTAAATTAAGTAAAAAAAAATTTCAAAATTTACTAGGCGGTAACTTTTCAAAATTTTCCGGTAAACTTCCAAAAAATTTTCCGATAAATTTCCCGGTAAATTTAACCTTTGCAACACTAGCGTTTACATGCAATTTTTTCAGGCACTATTGCACTCCACTCTCATAAGAAACAAGTTTTTTTTAAAACAAATTAAAAAAAAAAACAATTTTTTATTCTCTTGTTAACAGAATAGATGCTAGGCTTGATTAAGAGTCAAAAAAATCTTATTTTTGAATGTTCTTCAAATCTTATTTTTGAATAGTCTGATTAGCAATCTTAATTTGTTTCAAAAGAGTATCATTAATGATATACTTTTGAAATCAGTGGCGGATCCAGGTTTTTTTTGATGTTTGACTAACTTCCAGACATGGTGCTAACTTCAAATATTTGTATGTTTATATTTATGTCAAAAAATAATGTTTTGCAAAAAATTGCGACGATTGGAGGCTGGAAACAAAAGAGCCTTTTAACTTCGTTCCTCAAATAGACTTAAATTAAATTTTATATATAAAACTTAAATTTAATAAAAGTCTAGCTAAGAATAATACAAAAATATTTTATCAACTTTTTGCCCCTTGCATTTGGGGTGGTGGTGGTGGGGGAGGGAGGAAGAATTCAAAGATTGTTCCCAGCCTCCAATCGTTGCAAATTTTGCAAGGCATCATTTTTTGACATAATAATTTAACACTATAGTGTTATCTCTCATTAATCATGACTATCCCTCGGTTTTAGGATGTTACAACTTTTATATGGTCATAGTTTTTGAACGCTGAAAGATAATACTATGAAACTTTCAATTTATTGATGAATATAAGTTGAAAATAGTACAAAAATATTTTATCAACTTGGTGCCCCTCCCGTTTGGGGTGGGGATATGAAGTTTAAGGGCTTTTTCGTTCCCAGCATTCAATCTACGCAATTTTATGCAAAGCATCATTTTTTGACATATCACCACGATCGGTTAAAATTTAGATGAATTTAAATTGAGTTTTCTCAAAAACCACTCAATCAGTTGTAATATTTTTTTTTGTAATGATGCTTACATAACTACATAATTAGTTTATTTGTAAGTAGGTTTAGTTTCGTTAACTTCTCATTAGTTTTTGCAAAGTCAATTAATAATTCACTAAAATTTTTTTGAAACTTGACATTCAACTCAAAATTCATTGTTCTCATATTTCATAATTTCAAAAGCATCTTTATAACACTTAATTGTTAAAAAAAAAATGGTTCTCGTTGGTTATACTTGCCAACTGCCAACAACAGATCTAATTTACCGACTCCAGTGTATAAATTTGCCGACTAATTATTGAATAGAATATTTGTTATGGAGTTAGACAACCCCTACGCCTCCCCTCCTCGGCATGGCCCCGACAAAGTACACGATAATAAAGAATAAATTGTTATGACTGATTTGTTACGAAGATTTGAACAAATGAACAGAGGCACTGTGGGGTGGAAATAAAAAACCAATTTTGTTTAAGAGTTTTATGCAAACCGGCACCAAATTAATGCCAAATTAAATAGCTGTCCACGACACCATTCCGTTAAACCACTGCCTATTTTACAAAGCAACTTAAGCGCATGCACTTATTTGACTTTGCATTTGCAAGAATGCAGTTGTTGTCTAATTCTTTAAAACTTGCACACATCTGACTTACTATTTTTTTCTTTTTTTTTCAAAATAAAAAAAGAATAAAAGAGTAACAAAGCTAATATTGTTAACTTTTATTATTTTTTAACTTTTTAATTTTCTATTTCTTTTTAGTTTTCTATTAGTACTATTTCAATACGGTACTATAATACTTTCAAAGAAGAAACATGAGTTTGCAATATTTTCTGAATATGTTACAAATCGATGTTCTGAATCCAAGCACTTTTTATTTATAAAGTTTTTTTCGTCTTTTTGTTTTCATTTTTTTGCACCAAATAAAACTGTGCTTTGTATTATTAAATTTTTGTTTTGTTTTGTTTTTATCTTACAAGCAATATTTTAGTAGGATTATTCTTAGTTTTCAGGGGTTCTATGAAAAGGTGACAATTGCGACAATTAACATATCAACCTTACCTTCTTTTAATCCCTGACTGATCCCAGCGGGCATGCGTTGTCCTGGGGACGTCCGAACGACGTCCGAACAACGTCCGAACAACGTCCCTGGGACGACGCGTGTCTGTATTTTGAAAATATAAAATGTTTGTTTATAGAAGTTTATGTTTATGATGTTATTTACTTTTTTCTTTATGTTATGAAAACTGTAATATTGCATAATGGTAAAAATAAAAAGTAAAGTATGAAAAAAATGAGCATTAGTATGTCATTTTATTCAGTTTATGTCAGTTTACATTAAACTTTATTTATATGTTTTAATATATTTCTCTCTATATCAATATTATTTAACTACTGTTTGCTGATGTTTAAGTTTCACGTTTAATTTTGTTTATGACTTGTAAAAATCATGAGTTTTTTTAAACATTTTAGTTTACATTTGTTAGTTCGTTTTTACAATATAATGAGAGTATATAAAAATTAATACAACTTATAAAGTATGCAAATACTACTTTTTTATCTATGAATTATTCATGAATATAATTTAAAGTTTGTTTATTGCAAAATAATATAGCTTCATAATATATTATGTTGTTAAAAAAAGAATGGTGTTGATTTTTCATGTCTTTCACACAACTTAAAAGATGTCACTAGCTGTTTTACCAATATATGAAGATATAATGAAAAATTATATTTTCTTATGTTGAACTAAACATTTAAAAACATCAAGGAAAGAATAAAGTTTTATCAATGAAGCATTACACAAAACCACATCTTTATTAGAAGCACCAGAATCTAAATATCTTGACCATTTATCCTATTTTATGGTAAACTTCAAGAATATTAACGTTCAAAAGTTTGTTGCTGTTGGGCTGGACGGATATGCCATTAACACTGGAAACAAGGGTGGTACAATGAGACTGATTAAAAAGAACATAACAAATGGCTGTCGTGGTCGAATAGCCTTTTGAAGACAAAAATACTTCCTCTTTGACACCTGCTAATTTATTTGGATGGATCAACTAAAATATCAAAAGCCTTTTTAAGTCTAATTGGTATGACGTAAATAGTGAGAAATTACCAGTTGTTACATTTGAAAAGATAGGTGTAACTCTTCGAAAAGTTGTTACATTTGAAAAGATAGGTGTAACTCTTCGAAAAGTTGTTACATTTAAAAAGATAGGTGTAACTCTTCGAAAAGTTGTTACATTTAAAAAGATAGGTGTAACTCTTCGAAAAGTTGTTACATTTAAAAAGATCGATGTAACTCTTCGAAAAGTTGTTACATTTAAAAAGATAGGTGTAACTCTTCGAAAAATTGTTACATTTAAAAAGATAGATGTAACTCTTCGAAAAGTTGTTACATTTAAAAAGATAGGTGTAACTCTTCGAAAAGTTGTTACATTTAAAAAGATAGGTGTAACTCTTCGAAAAGTTGTTACATTTAAAAAGATAGGTGTAACTCTTCGAAAAGTTGTTACATTTAAAAAGATAGGTGTAACTCTTCGAAAAGTTGTTACATTTAAAAAGATAGGTGTAACTCTTCGAAAAGTTGTTACATTTAAAAAGATAGGTGTAACTCTTCGAAAAGTTGTTACATTTAAAAAGATAGGTGTAACTCTTCGAAAAGTTGTTACATTTAAAAAGATAGGTGTAACTCTTTGAAAAGTTGTTACATTTAAAAAGATAGGTGTAACTCTTTGAAAAGTTGTTGCATTTAAAAAGATAGGTGTAACTCTTCGAAAAGTTGTTACATTTAAAAAGATAGGTGTAACTCTTCGAAAAGTTGTTACATTTAAAAAGATAGATGTAACTCTTCGAAAAGTTGTTACATTTGAAAAGATAGGTGTAACTCTTCGAAAAGTTGTTACATTTAAAAAGATAGGTGTAACTCTTCGAAAAGTTAGATCTGAGTACAGATCAAAAATATCTGTGAGAAATGTGCAAAACAATATTTAAAGACGTTCATTTTAAATATTTTCTGTCGAAGAAAAATGCAGGTGGTACTAAATTATTTTTGATGGCTGAACGGAAAATTGAATTTTAATTTTGGCATTTGTATTGTTTTAATTTATGGTTTTAGTAACTTTTTACTATAAACACCGTTATAAAGGCAAAATAAAGCATTCCATGGGAATAATTAAAGATAAACAAGCATATTTTTAAACTTATATATATATATATATATATATATATATATATATATATATATATATATATATATATATATATATATATATATATATATATATATATATATATATATATATATATATATATATGTATATATATATATATATATATATATATATATATATATATATATATATATATATATATATATATATATATATATATATATATATATATATATATATATATTTGTACCAATTCTAATTTTAAAAATATCTCTATTTCTGATAAAAATGGACACATTAATGTTTTCATTAATGTGTTCATTTTTATCATTTGCGACACAATTCCTTTTTTTAATTGCGACACATTTTTTTTTACTTATTGCAACGCGATTTCTTCATTTTACGAATTAAAAGTTTATATTTGATATTAATGCGAAGCTTATTTTAAGACGCTATAGGATTCACCCGTTAGTGTTGCAACAAGTAATATTTACATAATTAAGGTTTCGAATTTAAAAATTTTAGTTTAAAACATTACTTAAACAAAAATAAAATTGGTTTAGTTTAATAGTAAATTCGGTTCAATATACCATCTGCACGTACCATATGTACGTACTATCTCTTTAAATTGTTTAGTCATCTAAATTTAAATTATTTGGTTACTATTTTGGGGACAAAAAAAAACCGAATTTTAAAAAACGCTATATAATCAAAATAATTTATTTTAGATTAAATTATTAAAAGAATTAAAACAACAGGTTTAAATTTTTAAATACTAAAATAAAATACACTAAAATTCTTTTAATAAATATATCAAGCTAGCTCATTTTTTTTAGATTCGGTTACGCAACGGTTTAGGTTTTGGTTATGCAACGGAAATGAGATGATTCATTTTATTAAATTTGATCATGATCTAATATTATGGCAACAAATATAAAATAATTGCAAAATGAAATTATTGTATAAAATTAGGCTTTCAAACTAAAATTTTTATTTGACAGTTAGCTTTTAAATATTACAGCTAATTTTTGTTTGGCGATGCATTATCATTATATTTAAGCCAGTAAAAAATGTTAAAACATATGAACAACAGTGGGAACAGGATGCGACTAATTTTATCAACTATTGAAGCTTTCCTGAGTTCGAGATACAACTTCATAAAAGCCGGATGTTTTTCAGCAACCTCTTTTTTACTTAAAAGCAGAATATCTTCTTCTTCTGAAAATTCTTCCTCGTAAAACTTTTGCGAAATCTGATTACAACTAAGATTAGCATCATCTAATAAAAACGAATTTTCTGATTTTCGTTGATATCTTGCAATTATGGAAGTTGAAGATCGGCACGGTTCCGAATATCTCCGCATGTTAGGCATTTTAACTTTATCCTATAAATTAAAGTTAAATATTAAAAAATAAAAACTGTTGATTTTGTTTAACCAAAAACTTTTAAACTTACAATCGAAAGACTTATAGAAACTCTTTTTGACAGTTTGCTGATTTCCTTATATGCATTTTTCATGACAAACTTTTTCTTGAAGTTTTTTAAACCATTAAGAACAATTGTGTACTCTATAAGAGTCATAAAGATAAACGAAAAAGAAGCCATAAAATAAATATCTACAGCTTTTACGTAACTGACGTTAGGTAAGCGGCGGTTTACGGATCCCCAAATGGTGCTGATTGTCAGCAAAGTTGTAACACCGATTCCTAAAAAAAAAAAAAAGATTTAAAATTTTTTTATTTTAGCTATTTTTTACAAAACTTGAATACTCTTCTTTAAATATAGAGTTCCGCCCTAACTACTTGTATTATAAACGTTTTTTATTAACACTTGCAGTCCCCTAAAATAATGTAACATTTACCCTCTAAAAGTTTTTTGCCCATTTTACTTTTGATTAATAGTTGTGATTTTAAAGGGTTAATGAATTTAAGAATGCTGATGCTAAAGGAATAATTATATTTTAAAGTCAGCATTATATTATAGAAAGATTTGATTTTTAAAGAAATTTTATAAAAATACTTTAGAATTTTTGAAAATTCTAGTTGATAAGAGTTTTAAAATTATTTTTGACAATAACTCTTTTTATAATATTACCCAGAAGGCACTAGGCGTGTTTTAGACAAAAAATTTTGTTGAATTTTAATAATGAGTAACCATAAATTTGTAATTGAACAGTTAAAATTAATTTTAATGCTAATCAACTAAATATCGTTAATAACGTTTCAAATGTTAGAAAAATTTGTTTTGAAGGGGACTTAAATTTACTTATTTAGTGTATTTCGTTCAATACTAACATGTCTGGGTCTTTTCTGGTCAACTAGAAGAAGTTATTTATGCAAGAACAAAAGTTGAATATTGTTGTGATTTGCTAAACATTACCTAATAAAACAAGAGTTTATCATCGGAATAATGTTATCATTATTGGAATAATGTTTTCATAATCAGAATCATGCGTTCATGATTGGAATGTGGACAGAATTGTGGTGGAATATATATTTAAAAAAAAACACTCTACTTTTTCTAAAACACTTTTTTCTACTTATTAAAGCTCCGTTGAATCCTTGTAGAATCCTTGTATTTTTTAAATCTTCAATGCTCCAGCTTTATTTGTATGTATGCTATTTATATTGAGTATTTATGCAACAGATCAAACAAATATTTTTTTAAAATTTTATCGCATATTCTGTACCAATATTTAAAGATTTTTTTTTAATAAACTCTATTTTAGGAACTTTGTTGTTTTAGGACTTAATACAAGAGGTTTTTTTTGGAAACCACAGCTGAGTATGAAATTGGAAGACAGTTTAAAAAGCGTATCTGTTGTTTAGATCAATTCAAAAATGAAGAAATGCTTAATGGGCACTGAGTTCATTTTAACGTCAATGTGATATTGTTTTTTATCCCTAATTTTTTACCCCAATTCCGTGTAAAATTGTATAAATTAACATCGCTATCCTAAACATGATCCCAATTTTAAATAGCTATTCTTCCGAAACATAAATGCAAAAATATTATTTTATAAATATAATTTCCTCACAATATTTCATGTTAACGTAGTCGAGTGGATTCCGCTACAGGCTAATCAATCAATGGTTTCAGATTCGTCTCTCGGTGTCATTTTTAGTTAGTGCACAAAGTTTTTTTTTTGTTGCTGCTACAAAGTTTTACACTTGGATCATATAAATTCAAAGCGCAGAATGTGCACTGCACTTAGACTGTTACAGCCATTGGCGCAACGTTTTTCGCCTACTGCTGTAACATCCCTTAACAGGCTTTAACTACTCCGTTAAGTGTAACTACTCCGTTAAGTGTACACATCGGTTAAGTAAGATTTAGGCGCAGTTGATTTCACAATCAACATCTAGATACATCAACTGAGGGTTTTGGTTTTGTCAGATACTCGTTAAATTAAAAGAAAGCCTTCTCTAGATTTAAAACTGTAAAATAGAAGAAAATGTTGCATCACAAAGTTGGAAACCCCCTCCTCTCCCTTGTAACAAATCGTAACAAAAATGTCTTTATCCGCTCCCCTCCTTCCTAAAGCGTGACGTAATTTATAGACAACCCCAAAGAAAAAAAATTTTAAAAATTTAAATAAGGTTGCCTTTAAAGGAAAAAAGAAGTGACGAAGAAGAATTTAAAAAACTGGGTAATAAATTACAAAATCTATTTATGACATTGATTTACGTTTTCCCATGTTTAAACAAAAAACTATTTTTATATTAACATTATTTAAAAAAAAAGATAAATAAATAACAAAAGAGTTAAACATAATATATCATGAATAAATCAATAACAACTACTTTTTACTTAACAAAATGTCATTATTTTGTTTTTAATGTAAATTCTTTTTTAATGATTTTAAAGGTGAGTTTTCTTACGTTTTTCCACGGGAACGGGATAGGAAAGGAAAAAATAATCACGTGAGAATGCGTAATAAAATTTTTTATTTGTCCGAAAGAAAACTGTGCATGCTCACGTGATTATTTTTCCCTTTACCCATAGAAAAACGGATGAGTGGAAACTCACCTTAATGTAAATTTTTTAAAATGTTTTTAATGTTTAAACGTCAATGTAATTAACATACAAACTAATATGGAAATTTAAATTTAGATGTTGGGAATAAATTTTACAACAATTTTTCAATTTTATCAAGTTTCATGCTGTCTGCTTTTTTTTGGGTAAAAATTTTGTTGAGAATATTATCGAAAGGTTTGTAATGTTAAGAAATGCTTTACAAAATTTTTAAGTCCTCTGCATAGATAATGAATTGTGCCAACATATCCGTGATAGTTTCCTTTTTTTAAGGTAAGTTTCACACTGCTACAGACTATTTGTGTTCTCTTATGTTATCAATATTTGTTTAAATACTAATAGAAATATTTTGCTTTAGTGTGACCATGTATCATGTGTTAGGCAAGTTCAATTAAAGCTAATTGCCTCGAAAGTAATAAAAAGTCAAGACCAAAACAAAAAGCGTTTATATATGTTAATTAATGCAAAGATAAGTGCTATATGTTTTATAAATTATTTCCATTTTGAAAAGCTTTTCAATATCAATATTTGCCTAATAATTTTAGTCGCATCTAAAACATTTTGATATCTAAAAATGGCAGTTTCTGAAGCTTTTGTTATTGTCTATAAATAATTAGAAAAATTTAAAGCTATTTGTGTTTTTATTGATTAGTTTAAACTAGATTAGATCTCAATTAATAAAATTTGTTGTTACAGTTTAAAATGGAGTTGAAATAAAAAAGTCAGTTCATAATATATGATTATTTTAATTTTAAACAATAGTTATACAATAAGAAATAAACAAAAATCAAAGTTTCTGTTATTTCTTGTTTACTTCAGATGCAGAGATAAAACTCTTTTTAGAGAAGACGTACTAATGTGCGTGTAATCAATTGTGCGACAAATATCAGATCTGGATCTTTGTCCTGCTGATAAGGTCACTGGTGAAAGACGGTCTTCAAATTAACATTTTTGAAATTATAAAAATATAAAATTGTTAAAAACTAGTTGAACTAAAAATTATGTTTTAAATTATAATAACGCAATGATGTTCTAGCTTTTTATTTTGTGTTTGTTTAGACTCCAGCCAGTCTGGAAACTAAAACTCCAGCCAGAGTCTGGAAACTAAAACTCCAGCCAGAGTCTGGAAACTAAAACGTTCGCAGATGTATAATCTTAAGTCTGAATTTAAGAAGATCAAATTTTAAGTCTTATAGTTTTAAATTTTCACCATTCAAAACCTAAAACTTATGAAATCAAGAAATGTTACCAAAATGTTAATAATTAATGTTTTAATAAAACATTGATTAATATTAATAAAACTTTTATTGGTTATTAACATATTACTTACATCGCTTGACTTCACTACCCCGACATCGTATTCTAACGCTAATCCAACTTTTCATTAACAACATATATGCGACATCCTTTATTGATTTACAAAGAAACTATTCAAATATTATTTTTTGCTAGTGGTTCAACTTTAACAATTATGAGAACTTTTTACCAAAGTAAAAAAGTAGTTTTTTGTTTTTCTTGTTGAAATTAGAAAATCTGCACTCAAAATTGTTACTACTCAACTTCGAACTAATTTATGTTTCGAACGAATCTATGATTCGAACGAATATATGTTTTGAACGAATCTATGATTCGAACAACAAATGATAGCTTTTTTAGATTTATTTGAAATAATGTAGATTTTAAGAATAAAACAAGATAGTGTAGGTCCGGTCACCCGAAAAATTCAAGCTATTTTACAAAATCTTCATATAACTGCCGGCTTTTTCAGACTTGTGAAATACTATGACGACTGATAAATATTAGTCTATAAAAATCGTTTTAAAAATCTGTGATAAAAGTTTTTACGTAATTTATTTAAACCGTATTTTAATATCTATCTGATAAAATAAAATCAATAAAAGAAGATAAATAACATATTTACCAACTCTAGCAGGGGAACAATGTTTATGTAACCAAAGTGAAATCCAAGATACACAAACAATCGCTACGCAAGGGAAAAATATTTGTAAAATGCTAAAAGCGATTCTTCGTTTAAATGTAAACTCAGCCTTCAAGAGAGCAAACTTTCCTTTTAAAAATAAAATAAAAAACTTTTATAAATAGAAAAAATAATATACAATGGTGTCGAATTTGAAAATTAACTGACCCATTGAAAATTGTTCGACAATGGTTTTATTTTCTATTCCAGTAAGTGTGTACTGTGAGAGATTTTGATTAAGAATTTGTATAGGGTCATTACGCCATCTGTAGAGTAAGTGGTCTATAGTGTACCCATCTACAAAAAAAATTTCAAATTAATTATTATTTCAATCGAAGTTAAAAAAAAAAATTCAGGTTTATAGTAAATAGTTGTAGATTTGAAAATTGCGTGTAATCCCAAATACGGATATTTAATTTTGATAGCAATCCCTAACCCTAAATACCTAGGAGTTAGCTGAACAAGGTCTTTACTAATTCTCTAGCCCAATTAAAAAACTTTTATTGTTGAGTATATCCTTAGATAACGCAATGATTTTTTAAAGACTTTTAATATAATATTTCTTTAACACTAATATTTACATCAAACATAAAAAAGTTATCTATTTATTTATTGTTCTCACTTGAGTTTATTTTTAACTTCTAAAGTAATTAATTATTTAATTTGAAAAGCCGAATTTAAAAAAAAAAGCTATAAATAAATGTTTTAACTATCAGTAACTCTCTAATCTCATACAACTTTTTTTAATCATAAAGTCATAAAGTATTTCTGCCTGATTTGTCTCTTGTTGCGCCATAACATAAACATTTACATTTCGCGAGGTTAGAATAATAGGGTTCTATCTCCATTCTTTAACGTTTAGCGAACTTTATTTATTTGATTTTTAATTATTTAATTTTTTTACAACTGTTGTTTTTAAATTGATAAAATATATGTTTTTTATGTTACTTATGTTTTATAATTAATCTTACATTATTAATTTTATAATTTTTAAAATTGTTTGTTTACAAATCAATTGTTAATTCCAACTTAATCAAATTTGGTTTAAGTTAACAATGAAAAAGCAAAAACATACGTTTTTAAATATTATATAAATAATAATAATAAAAATTAACATACTAAAGTTATATAATTTTGAACACAAAAACAATACTATAAATAAAAACAAAAAGTTAAGTTTTTTTTACCTGAAATTGGGAGATAGAACCTTATAATTCTCATCTACCGATATGCTATTTTGTCATTACCAATTTATATTACTTTATAAATAATAAATGTGTGTTCTAAGCAATCAATTTAACAATTTTGATATTTTGCCCTTCTTATTTAACAAATTTAACATAATAAGTATATACACAAAAAAAACTTTCAAAAACTTTCAAAATGAAAAATAGAAGTTTTTAACAACAATATTTCAACGGAATAATTGAAGTAATAAAATGAAACAAAAGATAGATAACCAAGAAGTTATCAATCCACAAAAATTGCGTTATGTTTTATTATAAATTTAATATCAACAAAAGCACAACAGAAACAAACAAAATTAAAAAGAAATGCAGTTATTTAGATTTAAAATAATTTTTTGATTCAAACAATTTAATTTTTTTCAAAATATGTATTTGAAATCTAATATATCGTAGTCCATGTTCATGTATCATAGTCCATGTTCATGTATCATAGTCCATGTTCATGTATCATAGTCAATTCAACATCAATTAAGCAAATCTGGCGAAAAATAAAACTTGGTCAAGAATCATTTCTCCTCGGCTGCTTATATCGTCCACACGACGAAAATGATCAAAATCTTACTCAGTGTATCACATGGATCACTACCGCTCAACAAATACTGCCTAAAATAAACTACTCTGCAATGCTACTGTATGGCGATTTCAATTTTAGCCATACATCTTATGAGCCTATCGAAGTTAACAGTGGCATTGCAACTGTTGCTCACGTGAGAGGTGAGCGTCAAGGCGACACCAGGTTCCAGAAGTGTCTTGATGAATGTCACTTAACTCAGCTTATCACATTCCCAACCTACCGTAATAGTCGACACGTCAAGCCTACTAGTACACTCGACCTTATTATAACAAATGAGCCAGACCGTGTAATCATTATTAAACAAGGCGATTCTCTTGGTGACACTCCAATGGGCCAAGCACACTGCTTCATCGAAAGCCAATTTACTGTTGCATGCCTCAACAATTCGCCAACATTGCCGCTAAAACCTCGAATCATTTGGAGTAGAGCAAACTACGCAGCAATATCAGCACATATTGCAGCTGTTAACTTGGAAACAGTATTCACTGGACTAAATGCAAACGAAGATTATCAACTTCTGGTAAAGGGAGCAATGGGTAACACTAGAACTTATTGAGGCGTCAAAGCTAAACGCACCTCTTGGGCCAAGTACATTAATGCAGGTCGAGATACGCACAAATTTCTCAAAATATCGCATCGTACTGCCTGCAAAAAAGTTAAAAAAATGGTCAAAGCTGGTAGGCAGAAGTACGAAGAGCTACTCCTCAGGGATTTCGAAAGCAACCCTAAACGCTTACATGCATATATAAGAAGCAAGCAGAGCGTCAGAAACAACATTACATCGCTTGAAACAGTCAATAGCAACATCACAACCGATACCGGCGATATATGCGCATCGTTAAATGACTATTTTCAATCAGTCTTTGTTTTAGAGTCCGAAGGTTCAATGCGAGGCTTTGAAAGTCGTACAGAAGCAGTTTGTGTCATCGATCCATCAATTTTCTCTATCGACATTGTACAAAAATGCCTAAACAGCCTTGATGAAAGAAAATCAACCGGCTACGATGGCTCACATCCACGGGTCCTCAGTAAATGTTCAGCTACCTTTGCCAAGCCTCTTTCGCTTATCTATAAACGCTCGTTTGCAACTGGTGTAGTTCCTGACTTGTGGAAAAAATTGAATGTAACACTTATTTTCAAGATGGGGAGTAGGCTAAAAGCATCCAACTACCGGCCAGTCTCGCTCACTTCCATACCTTGCAAAATTATGGAAAGTATTTTACAAAAAAAAATAATGGAATACTGCGTTGTTAATGGACTAATTTCTCCAAACCAGCATGGCTTTGTTCATCGTAAAGGATGCGTATCAAACCTTTTAGAAACTTGAGACATCATGACGGAAGCAACTCACTGCAGACACGCAGTAGACGTCATTTACACAGACTTTGCAAAGGCGTTCGACAAAGTATCACATAAACGCCTCCTTCATAAGCTGAAAGCGTACGGTATTTAAGGCGCTCTCGTTGATTGAATTGCAGCTTGGCTAAACAATCGATGTCAACGAGTGGTTATAAACAGCATTACTTCTGAATGGAAAGCAGTCACTAGTGAAGTGCCTCAAGCCTCGGTCTTGGGCCCATTGCTATTCGTAATCTTTGTAAACGACTTGCCGGACAGAATTACTCATCATATGAAACTGTTTGCCGACGACAGCAAAATAATAGGAATAATTAAAAAGGAGTCGGACAGCATTACTCTCCAAAATGATGTTGACAGAGCAGTGGAGTGGTCACACATTTGGCTCTTGCATTTCAACGTTGAGAATTGCAGAGTAATGCATGTTGGGCGCGGATGTAACAAGTCGACGTAAAAACACTCAATGTCTAACGTCGACGGTTCCCGTCGTCCTCTCGAAAAAACTGCAGTCGAAAGAGACCTTGGTGTGATGGTCTCGAATGATCTTAAAGTCAGACATCTTAAAATCAGACATTACCATTCTCGAGCGGGTCCAACAACGAGCAACAAAAACAATATTGACTATTAAACACCTGTTCTTTGAAGATCTACTCCAACGACTTGGTTTAACTACTCTTGAAGAACGCCGCAAAAGACCAGATCTTATCGAGCAATTCAAAATCATTCGTAAACTTGAGCTTTTCAGTTTTGTCGTCCCGCAAAAATTTTCAAAAAGTAAAGATAAGTATATTCTAAGAGGCCATAACCATAAACTGACGTAAATAACGGCTATGAATTTTTTATTCACGTGTTCACTAAGCAATACGAAAAGGCCTTTCCAAAATTTAAAAAAATTATTAAACCTAAAAGTTTGCTTAGTCCGTGGATGACGAAAGGACTCATTAAGTCGTCAAAAAAGAAACAAAAACTTTACCAAAAATTTCTTAAAAAAAAGAACTACAAAAACGAAATAAAATACAAAAAATATAAAAATTATTTTGAAAAATTAAAAAAGCAATCAAAAAAAAATTACTACTCTTCATTACTTAATAAAACATTTGGCAATGCAAGAAAAACTTGGAATGTAATTAAAGAAATAACAGGCGTGGGTAATGTAAAAAAAGACAATTTCCCAAAAAGATTACAAAGAGATGACAATTTAGGTGATGCTTCTGTAAATAAAGAAATTGCAGAAACATTTAACAACTTTTTTATAAATATAGGAAAAAAACTAGCCGATGCAATTCCGGAGGGAAAAAAATCTTTTAAATCCTTTTTGAAAAAATCTGATTTCTTCATGGATGAGTCAGAGCTTTTGATTGAAGAACTTCGGCAAGCGATTAGTATGCTTAAATCAAATAAAAGTGCGGGTCTGGATGAAATTAAACCTGATGTTGTAAAAGCTGTCTCTGATATCATAGAGAAACCCCTTTTCATAATTTTTAATCTATCCCTAAAAAACGGCATTTTTCCCGACCAACTTAAATTAGCAAAAATAATTCCAATATACAAAAGCGGCGATGACTCAATAATATCTAACTATAGACCGATTTCCATACTTTCCTGTTTTTCCAAAATATTAGAGCGTATTATGTTCAACAGGCTGTACAATTATCTTGAAAAAAATAATATTCTTTATCATAAACAGTTTGGTTTTCGAAAAAACCATTCTACGGAACATGCCGTAATTGATCTTGCGAACCAAATTTTACAAGGTTTTGAAAACAATTGTTACACACTTGGAATTTTTCTAGATCTATCAAAGGCATTTGATACTGTAAACCACAAGATTCTTATCTACAAACTACGTAGTTACGGAGTAGTTCACTCTAATTTAAAGTGGCTTCAATGTTATTTAGAAAACCGTAAACAAGGTGTACCATATGATCTAACATGCTCCCCATTTGAATCAATAAGTTGCGGAGTTCCACAAGGATCAATACTTGGACCTTTATTGTTTTTAGTTTATATCAATGATATTTTTTTGTCTTCAAAAATACTTAATTATACTATTTTTGCTGATGACACTAATGTTTTCTTTTCTGACTCAAATTTAAAAAATATTTTTTATTATGTAAACG